AAGAAATAACCTCAGCACCTGTAGCTCAGTGGCTAGGGCACTAGCCATGTACACTGGAATTGGCAGGTTCAAATCCAGCCTGGGCCTGCCAAACAACAATGAAAACTACAACCAAAAAATAGCCAGGCATTGTGGCAGGTGCCTGTACTCCCAGCTACTTGGGAGGCTGAGGTAAGAGAATTGCTTAAACCCAAGAGGTTGAGGTTGCTGTGAGCTATAACACAACGGCACGATACCAAGGGTGGCATAGTGAGACTTTGTCTCAAAAAAAAAGAAAAAAAAAGAATTAAAGAAATATCCTCCAAGAAAGTGTGGGTAAAACAATTGAGGATATCAGCCTAGGGAAAGATTTTATGAAGAAGACTTCCGTGGCAATTGCAACAGCAAAAATAAACAAATGAGACTTAACTAAACTGAATAGCTTCTGTACAGCTACAGAAACAAACACCAAAGCAAATAGATAACCTTCAGAATAGGAAAAGATATTTGTATATTATGAATCGGACAAAGGCTTGATAACTAGAATCTGCAGAGAACTTAAATTAAGCCACCAAAAAGAACCAACAATCCCTACTATCAGTGGGCAAGTGAGATGAATAGAACCTTCTGTAAAGAAGACAGATGAATGGCTAACAACCATTATGAAAAAATGCTCATCATCCCTAATCATCAGAGAAATGCAAATCAAAACCACCCTGAGATATCACCTAACCCCAGTGAGAATGGCCCACATCACAAAGTCCCAAAGCTGCAGATGCTGGCATGGATGTGGAGAGAAGGGAACACTTTTACACTGCTGGTGGGACTGCACACTAATACAACCTTTTTGGAAGGAAGTGTGGAGAACCCTCAAAGAGCCCAAGCTAGACCTCCCATTTGATCCTGCAATCCCATTACTGGGCATCTACCCAGAAGGAAAAAAAATCCTTTTATCATAAGAACATTTGCACTAGACTGATTATCATAGTTAAATTTACAATTGCCAAAGTGGGGAAACAACATAAATGCCCCCCAACCCAGGAATGGATTAACAAGCTGTGGTATTTGTATAACATGGAATACTATTCAGCCATTAAAAAAATAGAGACTTCATATCTTTTGTATTAACCTGGATGAGTTGAAACATATTATTCTTAGTAAAGCATCAGAAGAATGGCGAAGTAAAAATCAAATGTACTCAATTCTAATGTGAAGGCAGTAGATGATCTAATCTAAGGTGGGGAGTAAGGGAGTGAGGGATGAGGGAGCAGGGAGAGGGGAGGAGGCAGGGGAATAGGGGGTCACAGTATATAGCATACCTTTGAGGGGCTGGACACAATTATAAGAGGGACTTTACCTAACAAATGAAATCATTGTAGCGTAATTCTTTGTACCCTCAATGAATCCCAAACAATAGTAACAAAAGAATTAGAGTAATAATAAAAACATCTGAGAGTGCCACTCAGGTTATGCTACCATTTTTAAAAATCAATAATAGGGCAGCTCCTGTGGCTCAGTGGGTAGGGCGCCAGCCCCATAAGCCAAAGGTGGTGGGTTTGAACCCCCTGGCCAGGTAAAACAGCAATGACAACTGCAAGAACAACAACAACAACAAAAAAGCTGGGCATTGTGTAGCAGGTGCCTATAGTCCGAGCTACTTGGGAGGCTGAGACAAGAGGATCACTTGAGCCCAAGAGTTTGAGGTTGCTGTGAGCTGTGATGCCACAGCACTCTACTGAGGGCAACAAAGTGAGACTCTGTCTCAAAAAATAAATAAAAATCAATAATAACAGTAACATGCATTGGTCATTTCTCAGAGCTCTCTAGGACATCAATTCACTACTGAAAATTGATGACAGCAAGAATCAAGCATTTGTCCTGCTTTTCTGGGATGAACTTTACTCCAGGGTAGCCAAACATTGATGAGTGAGTGTTTCCTTACAGAAGAATTCCAGATAATATGTGTAGAAGGAATGATAGAATTAAAAATACCCTTAGCAATCCCTAATGAAGTAATGAATCTCAGCAATCAGTGGTGGATGCAAGGGTGGCAGGAAGACTTACAAAGAATGGATCAGGCTGACAGCCTGGAATCCATCGGTCATCTCAGTATCACATGAAAATCAGGAAAACAGGAGATTGTGTGCATCAGTGCGAGGCATAGAGGCTCTGCAGCAAAATCTATGAATTATTCTAGCCAAAATAACTGAAGCTGAATCTCATCAGGTCTCCAGACATAATCACTAAGCTGCAGAAAATACAGGAACATAAAAACAAAGTTAAAGACCCTAAGAAGCAACTAGCCAAATCTGGAATGTAGGAAACTCTGCAGGAAAAATGACTATTTCTTTCACAAACGAATGACCTAACAAAGGGGATGGGAGGAAACTGTTACAGATTTGGAGACTTAAGAGAAAATGTTTAGCAGGTAGGGTTCCTCCCGGAGTGATGAAAGTGTTTTGGAATTAGAGGTGGAGGTTGAGTGGGAAGGATAAAGCTTTCTACTTTAGCTGCCATTACTGTAACTCCTGTCCCTAAGTCAAAACAACCTTGCTGTCACCAGCTGTCCCACACTTTCCCTCAGAAGCAGGTCTTCCCTTTCCCTGTGATATATGAGCCCCGGATCTGGGGGGTAACAGCACAGTCTCACCACCACCCAAGACTTGGCTTCCATTCCTAAGGTCCTATTAAGTGTTTCTTTCTTAGAAACTGGATTTCTCAGCCTCTTTCCTCAGCCTCTCTGCTCACCACAGACGCCGCACCACATTATGAATATACCAAATGCCACTGAATTGCTTACTTTCAAATGACTGATTGTATATTATGTGAATTTTACCTCAATAAAAGGGAGAGACTTAAGAAACAGACCAGTCAAATGTACTAGCCGGGCCTTGTGGTGGCATCTGTAGTCCCAGAGACTTGGGAGGCTGAGGCAAGAGAATCACATGAACCCAAGAGTTTAAGGTTGCTGTGAGGTGTGACACTTTGGCGCTCTACCCCAGAGTGACAGAGTAAGATTCTGCTTAAAAAAAAAAAAAAAGGAAGTAAGGAAGGAGAGAGGGAGGAGAGAAGGAGAGAGAGAGAGATCCGTCCAACGTGACGCATGGAGCATGGCTGTCGTACCTACACAGGGAAAGGTAGAAGAGAAAGGCTGTGGGGTCCACCATATTGGAACCGCAGGCTACCTCTACCACAAATTAGAAGCACCAACTCCAACTTTTTAAGATGAAAAGGGATATTAAGGGTTTAACATAGAATTTGATCCCTTTCTGAGGCTAAGTGCTTTCATTTTTCCTAAAAACAAGCATCATCTAGCTCTTCTGTACCCCTCAGGACGAGGCGCTCACTCCCTTGCCAAACAACCCTTTCTAGGCAGAACCACCCTGCTCGCCTACGGAGTTTGCCCACTGCCCTCAGTTCTACCCCAGTCCCTGACACGGATTGTTACTGATCTTTCCAACTTATGGCCTTTTGGAGCTACTGCCTTTCATATGAAAATTATGTCTGCCAAGGTGACTTAGTTCATCTTAAAGCAGAACTCAATACTTTATTTATCACAGCCTGCAGCAAGGAATACCTTCCACCATGCAAGAGAAAGCAATATAAACTTTATGAAATATTTTGTTGATGTGAAGGAAGAAAGATTTCATAGCCCTATACATCCCTTCTCCTCCACATCGTTCCCAGTCTGCTCTCTATTTGGTCTCTAGCCTTCTCCTCAAATCCCAGAATGCCGAGAATGACTTTGCTTCCAGCAACAAAAGGGCATTTAACCACAATGATTCGATGGGAAAGTTATAAATTAAAAGTATTTTTTTCTTTTCTTTTAATAGATTTAGGGGATACAAGTTAAATTCCATTATATATATAGTATAGCGGTGGAATCTGGGCTTTGGATGGACCCATCACCCAAGAGGTGTACGTTGTACCCCATAGGTAATTCCTCACTCCCATCCACATTTCCCTTTTGAGTCTTCAATGTGCGTTATACCACTCTGTGTACCCTTGTGTAATTATAACTGAGCTCCAACTTATAAATGAGAACATGCAGCATTTATTTTTCTGTTTCTGAGTTCCTTTACTTCAGATAATGGCCTACAGTCCATCCAAGTTGCTCCCAAATCCTTTTTTAAATTTTTTCTTATCTCTGAGCAGTCCTTCATGCATTTCCTTAATCCATTCATCAACTGACATGCACTTAGGTCGATTCTCTATCTTTGCCACTATCAATTGATTGCTCTTTAATAAACTTACAAGTACAGGTGTCTTTCTGATATAATAATTTCTTTACCCAGTAGCGGGATTGCAAGATCAAATGGTAGACCTACATTTACTTCTTTGAGAAATCTCTACACTGATCTCCACAGAGGTTGTATTACATTCCCACCCACAGTGTATAAGTGTTCCCTTTTCACCACATCTGTGCCAACATCTATTGGTTTTAACTTTTTAATAATGGCCATTCTAACCGGAGTAAGATGGCATCTCAGTGTGGTTTTAATCTGCCTTTTCCTAATGATGGCTCTAGTGCTCAGGGTGGAGTTCATCCTAGCTCACTGCAATTTCCACCTCCTGGGTTCAAGCACTCCTCTGGCTTTGGCCTCCCAAGTAGCTAGGATTACAGGTATGCACTACCACACCCAAGTATTATTTTTAGAGATGGGGTCTCACTATACTGCCCCAGCTGGTCTTAAACTCCTGGCTTCAAGCAACCCCCCCAGCCTTGGCCTCCCAAAATACTGGGATTATAGGCCTAAACCATCATGCCTGGCCTCAGTTTTCCTAAGGATCAATATTATGTTCCTATTCTATAATCTACTCTTCTCCTATCCTGAAAATCAGAAGCACCATGCAGGTGGTATACTACTTACAGAGGCCCACAGATAAGGAGGGACTATAGTGTAGTAGACATCGTAGATTCTAGTCTTGAATCCTGCAAAATTCTTCTTGGCAGATTCCATGAAGTGTCCTATTATTTAAAATATATAATTATGATAACTTTCCCACAGAGGGAAGTAAGGTTTTTTTTTTTTTTTTCTCATTAAACTTTGTTTTAATGGGTCTCAAAATTCTGTGACAGATTTTTGGTCATGTTGTTTCCATTAAAAAGTACTGATTTTAAAAACTAATAACTTAAAACTGCCACACAAAAAGAAACAAATGGTCCACAAAACATTTTCCTTTCCTTCTGAAGGTTTTACGATGCATTGTTATCATTAACCAGTCTTTTACTATTAAACTTAAATGGCCAATTGAAACAAACAGTTCTGAGACCGTTCTTCCACCACTGATTAAGACTGGGGTGGCAGGTATTAGAGATAATATTCATTTAGCCTTCTGAGCTTTCTGGGCAGACTTGGTGACCTTGCCAGCTCCAGCAGCCTTCTTGTCCACTGCTTTGATGACACCAACAGCAACCGTCTGTCTCATGTCACGAACAGCAAAACGACCCAGAGGAGGATAATCTGAGAAGCTCTCAACACACATGGGTTTGCCAGGAACCATATCGACGATGGCAGCATCACCAGATTTCAGGAATTTGGGGCCATCTTCCAGCTTTTTACCAGGGCGGCGGTCAATCTTTTCCTTCAGCTCAGCAAACTTGCAGGCAATGTGAGCTGTGTGACAATCCAGTACAGGAGCATAGCCAGCACTAATTTGGCCTGGATGGTTCAGGATAATCACCTGAGCAGTGAAGCCAGCTGCTTCCATCGGTGGGTCATTTTTGCTATCACCAGCAACATTGCCACGACGAACATCTTTGACAGACACATTCTTGACATTGAAGCCCACGTTGTCTCCTGGAAGAGCTTCGCTCAAAGCTTCATGGTGCATTTCCA